GCTGACTAAAGCGGATGACTCCCTGAGATCTCAGAACTCTGTCCCGAACTGCAGGGCTTCGGTGACGGGACACAGAATGTGATGGTAAGTAATCTTCACAAAATTACACCGTTTAGCAGCTTCTAAAGTGTCCACCCTGTTTCAAAGAAGAAATCTTACTCAACTTATGACGACAGTCACATATTTTGTCTGCCGTGATCCCCGGTAGCATATTGTGCTAGCTAATGTTAGCACTAGGTAAAGTTCATAAACTAGGCTTGTGTAATATTCGCCTGTCTTTATGTTGAATTCGTTAACCAGCGCACCTCTGTCGAGTGGCATTAAGCGTGGAAAATACCAAATATATCTGGAGGAAATATGTGTTAAAAACTGTTGCGCAATCCTCAGTGTGTGTGTGTGTGTATTAACTAGCATTGAAGCTAAAATGGGAAAACAGCGGATCGTTGCACCAATGTTATCAGGTCCACGTTAATCTGCACCACACGTCAAGTGACTGTGCAGATGATTTATTTACCAAGCACATAATCAGTGCTGTCGATGAGGGGAGGGGCAACGTAACTCTTAAATATATACATTTTCTTCCAGGCGTAAAATGTAAAACTAAGCTGGTAGGTCACAGGCCGAAGGAGGATATTCACATAATTTCTGTGTTTTTTATTATTTGGTGGGTGTGTGTCTTGTACTTAGTTTTATTCCAAATTAGATGCAATATGCCTTTTGCTGTGTTATGATATTAAATTAAATTGGTGTTCTCCTAATTCCCCATTCTAGTATGACCAGCAGAGTGCAGATGAAGCAGGACAGACTTGTAGGTCTTACTGATTCCTCCAGCTGCTAGAGATGATCATAACATGAGGATGGAGAGACCAGCAAGTGTTGAGTCAGAGAAGGCCAGGTGGGGAATGAAGTGTTGCTTTTAGGGGCCGGGTGTGTTTGGCTAAATATATTTCTCCAAGTCAGTTTATTTATTGGTTTTCAAACTAATGCCTCTTTTTCTATGTTACATTTTTTGCATTATTTTTAGTACAGATAATCGGCGTACTGTCCTCTGTCTGCTGGTGGTTTAAATTGATTTCAGCTACATTCAAAAAAGTATTCAGATTTTAACATGCATTTTCTACTTACTAAATATTTCAGTTTTACTCAGTAACTTCAGTGTTACACCTCTGCAATATTTTTGCAGTTTCTCTTATTGTGATATAGTAACTGTTTCACTTGAACATTTAACTTGCTGAGATATAGTCAATTTATTTTCAATTAAAACTCTTAAAAAGACTTTAGGGCTTATTAGGTTTTGATTATGTTGTCTAGGTAAATATCATCACTTACTCGTACTTTTTTAATTCATTTTTGTTTTTCAGATTTGCGTCAAAGCTTCTTGATTCGTTTCTGAGCCATGATTGAGACTCTCCATGATGTTCACCCAGGACAGAGGGGAACTGTTATCAACTCCACTCCATCGACCCCTTGAGACCTTCCTGTTGTTAAATTGCTTTTCCCTTGGATCCAAGCACCTGCACCTCGCTGACCAGTAGTGACCATCAGTCCACAGTCAACTGGATCATCACAACATTGACTAACTTTTTATTTACAATTAGGATCTGAAAACCAGAGGACCAGCTACGCAAAAATCTACCTGCAAACTTTAAGCAGCTACCCTGACACTGCAGTGATCCTGGACTGGGCTGAGCTGCTCTTCTTCTCTCCTCTTCCTCTCTCCTCCAGAGTGACAAGTTTTCATCACCAGTAAAGACAAACAAGTTTGAGTAACTGCTGGAAAGTGTATTATATATTTTCAGTGTTCATTTTGTTATACTGTTTGGACTTAAAATAAAATGTAATCTCTTTTGTAATACTCTACATTTTACAAACCTTTTTCCCTTATCTCAGTTGTAACATTATGTGAAGTATTTGCATGTAATTCGGCCTTCAAGCGAGATATTATCCAGTTTTCATACATATTCAAAAAGGATGCAAGTACTGCCAACGTTGAAACAAGAGTATTAAACAATAGCTGTATATTCTTAAACGGTTTTCTATTTTTACTAAATTTGCAAAAAAAAAAAAAAAGAAAAAGCTTTTCCTACATTATAATGGGGTATTTATGTGAAGCACTTTGAGTAAATAGATTAATCCAATTTGGAAAAAGACTAAATGTGAAAGCAGTGAAGCTTTCACATTCTGGCCCCGCCCAGAATGTTCATGTAAGCTTCCCCAAAGCAAATAAAGTTGTATAAGCAAGAAAACGAATTCAACCAAAAACTTAGAAAAAGTTTCAACCAAAAAAAAAAGAGACTCAACCAAAAAAAAAAAGTTTCAACCAAAAACAAAGAGACTCAACCAAAAAAAAAGTTTCAACCAAAAAAAAGAGACTCAACCAAAAAAAAGAGACTCAACCAAAAAAAAGAGACTCAACCAAAAACAAAAAAAAAGTTTAAAAAAAAACTTAGTGATTTTTGCTTTGACATGATTTTTTTTTTGATTGAGTACTACTTTTTTTGATTGACATGATTTTTTTTTTTTTGATTGAATACTACTTTTTTTGTTTGACATGATTTTTTTTTTTGATTGAATAATTGTGAAACAAATCTAACGCCATAGTTACCTTAGACAGCTAAACACAACAGTTATGCAACAGTTTCTATCCACAAAT